GACCATGACACACTCAGCACAACGTCACCAGGAAGCGACCTCGTAAACAGGAACGACTGGGAGGAGGCTCAGCAAGTTAGCCACAGAAAAAAAGAGAAAACCCCCGGAGAAAAAACAAAGTTCATGGAGGCATTTTTAGATTGACCGTTAGAAATACACCTGTACTCCTGTCTCCCCCTCCTCCCTCCTCCCTCCCTTATTTTGCTAAGAGATGAATCCCGGCCTTTTGAGTCTTGCTGTCCTCCTTTATTCTCTCACGCACTCGACTCTCCCACCTTTTAACTCCCTTTGTTCTCAAAGCTGTTGGTTTTCCCTTTGTTTCTGTTTGAAAAATCAACTCAATACTAAGATACAAGTACACACTCAATTTGTAATGGTGAATGAAATTCAGATATTTAAGGTTAATCTAGGTATATGTATATAAATTGTGGGATGTTAACTGGTTTTTACCATTTGTTCTGATCAAACCATTGATACCTCTCTGAAATTTAGAGCTAATCCATTCAACAGTTGTTGAGATATTTCAGTCTAAAGTAGTGGAACCACTAGCGTGGCCAAAAACTAAGATGATGAATGTGTAACTAAGTGGATGAAGTTGATTTGAGACACACTTCGCTTGCTAAGTTTGCGCTGATGTGGCCTTTGGACCAGAGGGAGAAGCCAATAAACGAGCTCTGCACTGACGGATCTGCCTTGTTATTGACACGCTGGCCCACATACAGCATGTTTGAGGATAAATGATCAGACTTGAGCCCATTTCAACGCCAGAGGATAAAGTTCAGACAGAGAAAAATCATTCGCCCCCCCCTGTGTGTGGCAATATCAATGACACAGCTACTGTTATTATAAACACAGTAGGCTGAGTTCATTAAGAAGTCTCGGTACAGTAGAGAGCAGGGAAGTCCCCTGTGAACCGGGACAGGGAGGGGAGCCCGGCAGAGGAATGCGATTGTATACAGCCTTTTGGAGCTGAACAAAACCAGGCATTCCTCACGGAGATGTTTATGCTCTGCAGCGTGGTGTGGTCCATCCTCACCGTTATCTGTTAGCGTCAGCAGCACGCTCATCCAACAGAAATAACACCGCATTTACAAAACAGATGGTCCCATTTTGGCAAAGCCTGAAGAAAACACAAGGAATAAGTCAGGGATGGAATTACAGTCATGCCGTTGGAGAGAAAGCACATATATATATATATATATATATATATATATATATAGGAAAGATGTTTTTTTGCTTTTGCACTTAAGACTTCTATAACATGCATTTGCTTTGATCAATCCAGCCAGACAGACGTGTCCTGACAAATTTGGATTCTGGCTCAGTCTTGACACTCATTAAAAGCCAGCGCTGCACGTGCAGGTGTACGAACGAGCTATTGAAGTTTAGGCGTCCTGGGTGAGCGGCTTAAAGCGTGGCGGTGAGGTCGTGTGAAGTCAACGCATGAAGGGGACAGACCGTCTCCGGATCCAGTCCACTCCAGCTGTGAGTTCCGTGGCTGTAAATCCGCCTCGGTTGCAGCCGCAGGGCTTCAAACACCAGAGGGATCGACTGCTGTCAGCTCTCGTTCCAGAAGCCCCTGCGTGCGCTGCTCTCAGACATGTACCCACCATATACTGTGTATACATTTTTTTTCCCACAGATTTGCTGTGTGGTTTTTGCCATTCCTGGGTTTCAATCTATGCTGCACACATATCCCAGTGTGCCCCACTCCATCTGCTTCCCTCCCCAGCGTCCTCTCCCTCTTCATCCTGGTCCCGGGAGAGTGCATTCCAACAATTCCTCGCTGTCAGTCTCTCTCACTCCGACCCATTCGTTAGATGCTGGTGACAGATCCCTGCGGAGACGTAAAAGGCCTTCAGCTGCTCTGACCGCGACAGAACTGATCATTGGCGGATCCTTATAAAAGTCCCACATCCAAGATGCTCACAGTTCCGATTGTTCAGAGAGTATGTTTTTGTGTGTGCATATGCGGCTTGCTTAATTGGAATAGATGAGCCACGTGTCCCTGCGTGTGAATCTTCCCCCCGTTTCGTCTTGTGGTCTGATTCAGCCACATTCCTCCTCCTGCGATCGGGAAACCTGAGAGCCGGGGCCCGAGCGGTCGTACTCGAGGCTCCAGGGGCCAACTAATGACTTCCCATTAGTCCATTTGGTCTACATGATCCTCTATTATCTCGGAGACACACGCGGCGGAGAGATTCCATCCCCGCGGCTAATCGAGGGTCAATTGTCTCGCCTCTCAACTCTGATGCTTGTGACAGCGGCCAAAAGGGCACCTCTGCACACACACACACACACGTCGCACACACCGGTGGCACTTACACGCAACACAAATACAGGAGATTCATGTGGAGAAATCGGCTGTGGTGGAGAAAACTCTGCGATTTCTGCGTCAAATTAACCGCTGGAGCTTCTGAGCCAACGACGGAAAAAAGAACGCATTGAAATGAAATGGCCTCATTGTTCAGGGTGCTGAGACCCTCCCCGGATCTTCTGAAAAGCTCTTAAATATTTGAGCGAGTACTGTCATCTCTCACTAAAATGTTAGGCATAGAGAGCCCTCTGTCCCTTCTGAAACGAGTTGTCAGCTCGGGACATCGTGTGTGTGTGTGTGTGTGTGTGTGTGAGGGACAATATTTGAGGGGGTGTGATCTGTTCCGCTGAACAGTGCTTTAACACGTCTGAATGCTTTTCATGGGCAATTTTAAATGAGTCTGTGCGTATTGTGTGTGTGTGTACAGTTGGGTGGATTTGTGTGCACACGCAAGAGTGTATCTGCATGCATGCGTAATGCTTTCCGAAAGAGACACGTGTCCACACACACACAGAAACACACACAAACAAGGACTCTGCTTGTGCTTTAAACACGGCGGGGATTGAATGTTTGTTGTCAAGTTGACGCCTGTGTGAAACGTGATGGGTGACCGTCTCTCTTTGAGATGTGACGGTCGCAGGTGTGAGTCTGTGAGAGCGAGTCCGCCGGGGTGTGAGAACCAATGACGGTTCCGGTTGGGAAAATCCCCACCTGCAGTCAAGACCCTGCTCCTCCTCCTCCTCCTCTTCCTCATCAAACGCTCAGGTTGAGGCATAATATGAAATAGGTTTTGAGGTGTGCAGCGTCGTAAAACTGGGCGACACGAACAGCCTCGTTGAGAGGAAGAACGCCAAGAAAAGCCCTTAATTGTAGCTCTTTTTCAGAAGTTGATGCATGTTGGTATATATGTTACACCATGATTCACTCACCGCATCTTCCATTATTAAAAACTGTATATCTGTCACGGTTTGGGTTCATGTCTGGTTTTATTTTGTAGTTTCTTGCCATCATTTTTGGAATTTTTGACGATTAAAGTCCCTTTTTGTTTTCGAAAAACTCTGCGTTTGAGTCCTGTCTTTATCCCCAGCACCTTCCTGACAATATCCGGAACTTAACTGATGTACTTTAAGAATTGTTTTGAGTTTCAAAAACTGTGAATAACTTTTGTACTTTAGACTGAGAATGGAAGTGAAAATAAACTATTAATTTTAAATCTATGTATAGAAAAAAGATTTGGTGTACAATTTGATTCGTAGCGTTTGACTCCACCAACATGCACTCAGTGCATTGTTACACCGCAGTGCTGGTGGCCTTGGCCAAACGTGCAAATATGAAACGGTGTAAATATAGCTCCATAGCTCATGCTGTTTCCTCCGTTGACTCTTGTTAGAAAAACAATGGCATCCTATTATTTACCGTGCCGTGATTGGACGGGCTTTGTTACTGGCTGGAGCGCAGTGGTGTCTGAGGATCCGTCTCCAGTCGAGTCCGAATCAGTACAGTTATCCATCGAGCGGTTTTGTTCTCTCCCGCGCTTCACCTTTTGAAATGTTTGTGTTTAATGATAAAAACTCCCTTGCTCTTTGGCCCCTGCCGCAGGTCCACGAGGTTGGCAGACTGATATGCTATTTTTGGGCCCGGCTCGGCTGAATTTAAAACATGCAGAGTCACCGTCAGGCATTGTTCAAAAATGTTCCCTAAACATGGGTGACCGTCGAAGGTCAGCACTGAGAATGAGCCCTATGATTTTAAGAAACACCACATTTTGTTCCCAGATAGCAGCTCGCCGTGATGCTGGGGTAACGGGAGGAGACGGTTGGCATGGCAACTATCTCTCTCCAGCCATAGTGGCTGCATAAAGGTCCGTTATGCTGAATTTAGGCTCACGGGTCCTTCATAAGTAACCCCCCTGAGTGTGTTTAAAAGATGCTTTAATAAGCATTCGAGAATTAAAACTTGCTCAATAACTTTTAAGTCAAAAGTTACTGGAATACTAAAAGATCAACATGGCAAGTTTACCGACAGTAAATGAGAAAATTACACGTGGAAATATTTCCAAGACAGTTATTTCTAAGTTAACGGTTACGTTGTTGTTTTTAATCATTTGTCAATGTCGTCTTTTTTATAAACTCCGGAATAAAATGATAACACGAGGTTTCTGCATTCATCAAAGTACTAAAAGTGATGCACCCAAACTTTAAGGTTACACAAATGATTAGTACACAAATGAGCGTAGCATTATTAAAGTGCCCTGCAGACAAATTCATTGTTGGATATTAATGTGGATTAATTGCAAACTGTGACATTTTACCGACTTGGTCTTGGCTGGATTGCAGATTAGTACATGAAGCAGCACCAGGAGGAACAGATCCCCGTGTGCCATCTGAAACTCTACCCAACGGACCGTGATAGTAGCAGGACCACCGCGTTCTAACACCGGCTTGATATTTTTACACGGTCCTCCACCCTCAGAGAGAGAGTTAATAATACTAACATTTCAAACCGGATCATGTGGCACAAACAGAATAGCTGCGCTCGGCCCCTCCGGAGGGTCTGAATAAATGATTCGCGCGCTGCTGTCGCGTCTTCGTGCGCAGATCATCCGCCATTCCTCAGGCAGGGGGCGGGAGAGAGGCTCTTGGAAGTGTGCTGCGCCCCCCTTCTCCTCCTCCTCCTCCTCCTCCACCACCACCTCCACCATCACCACCGCTGCGTAATCAGGCAGGTCCAGGGCTGAAGGGCACCGAGCCACACGGGCTTTTTCTTAGTGATAAGACTCCTTGGAAAGAAGAGGACAGAAAACCAGCGAGCGGACCTGCGACGTTATTTCAGCGTGCGAGCCGCACTTTTTTTGTGTGTTTGACGCGTCACTTGTCGAGAGAATCCTATTGGATATATTTGAAAGAAAAGCTGGACATCCTTGGAATAATTGAAACACTCTTTTTCTTTTTGGAGTGTCTTATATAGTTTTGGTCTTTAGAAGTTTGTGACCTGGAAAATGTCGTAAAGTTATTTTTGTAGACGTGTGAACTCTTGCGCTTTTAGCCGTAAAAACGCGCACTTGTGCGCAAGCCGGACATAAAAACAGAAGACTGGAGCACATCGTCAAGACAAAGCGCCTGAATTAAAAAAAACTTGTAGGATTATCCATTCATCAAGCAAAGCGGAGCTCACCCCCCTTTTTTTGTTGGTATCTTGCCGGGCACCTTAAGGCGCGTACTCCCCGGCTCAGCAAGTGCGCGTTCCTCACCCTCTTCCTCGGATATCTCTACCGGAGGAGCAGACGGGGACTGTCGCGCTTCCATAAATGCCCGGTCCGTCGAAGAGGCTCCAGGCTGGGCAGCAAGATGAGCTCGTTGGTGCAGCTGCTGCTCGCGTTGCTGGCGGCGTGTCCGCGGTTTGGCGCAACCGAGGTGAGTCCGCAGCTTTCGCACTTTGCCGGAGGTTTGGCGCACGGAAGTGACCAAGTCCTTGTGGGATTCCAACACGGATTGAAGTGAGATTTATTTGAAATTGCTCCACGAGCCATCAAGGTATAGATGCAAATAACAACCCACCATATGTGGCCATGCAATTAGAACCCATACGTTATGTGAGAGAGTAGCAGCTACTTAAGGCCAACTATTTCAAAATGAAGTGAAACATCGTGAAATACGCGTGCTGTTTAACACAAGTTACAACAAATACAGGACTTTATTCTTTTTTTTTTTTAAATAATCATAGTGCACCTGCTCCAGTCTGGTCTTATAATGAAGTCCAGTCTTTGTTTTATTGCATTTATCGAGGTGTGTGTTTGTGTGTGTGTGTGTGTGTGTGTGTGTGTGTGTGTGTGTGTGTGTTTAACGGGCACGCAGTAAATAACTGTTATTCCTCCAATTAAATGGCGCAATGAACGGATGCGCAGGGCCACGCGCGCCGTCCTCCTGCGGGTTACAAGCCTCGTTATCCACGATTGGCTCCTTCTGCAGCTGGATGCCCCACGTGGTGAAGAGATGCATTCATGGATGCTGTTCCAGATGTTGAGTCCACAAATTAGTCAGCGAGCAGCATCACGCGGTGACACGCCGAGGCCAGATGTTAGTTAGGCCATGGAGAGAACTCGGTTGCACTGACTCACCTCTTTTCTCTCTTTGACTTTGACACCTTGGAGCGTAACTTCGTGGCAAACTGGTGTGCTGTGGTGTGATTAATTTGTCTTGTATAAGCACAACGAACGACTGGCCTCTTAAAACATCACTAATGTGTTCATTGAAACAAATGCAGATCTCCATCCCGCGTTCAGCTGAAAATGATACTTTTGTTTTCGACTCTTCGTCATTTATTTCTGCAGTCCTGCAAATTTGGATAGAAATCTGACTGGATAATATTCCATGTGAGGGTGGGGGAAGGCAATACTGACATAAGGAAGCAGGATAGATTGGCGACGTCTGACCGTCTGCTGAGGTCAAACAGGAAGACAGAACTTAACTCGAGGTCCCACCGAGGTCAAGTGAAGCTTAACGGACACCATCAAAAATACATCATTGCTTCTTTTGCCCATGAACAGCTAGATGAAGGTTGAGATGCACATTGAATTCTATTTTATCCGCACGTCTGCCTGGTGTGTTTGCGACCCAGGAAATTGATCTCGACAGTGAAGCCCCAGCGAGAAGCACTTGTAAAACCAAAGGGGGTCAAAACACACACAGTTAACAAGTCGCTCAAGTGGACGTTTAAACAAGTCAAACAAGAGGGGCCATCTGAGTTTTTTTCAAACAGACAGAAGGAGCAGTTTGGTCTTGCACGTTGCAAGAGGACTGAGTAGCTTCTGCACATGTTGGGAATGAGCTGCTTTGATGAAAGTATTGACAACGTAAATGAAGGGAAAACAAGGCGTGCGAACTGGTGCTTTTCCCTCCACCTAAAGAGTGAAACACAACTATAATGGATGACTGAATTACTTTGTTATTTTATTCCCTCGGAAAGTACCACAAAGGAATTCATATTTAATTAATTTGAGGCTTTGAGGTAGAGGGCCAGGAATTCCCTATGACTCATTTTTTAAAAGTTCTAGTTCATATAGTTCTATATGCAAGCTGCAATCAGATCCCTTCTAAAAGGAGCATAATTGTAGGAAAATGAAGATTCATTTCAATGAAGTGATGCGGTGCCCACATAAGAAGTGCACGTTCATTCTACTGTGGACCACCAGAGAGGAATCCAGACATCAGCCGACACAAAGTCATCATTATCTTTAATTGCATCAGGCGCCTTTCCAACTCAGATTCAAACGATGACAAAGGAATGAATTAAAGTCACGTTTATGCACACATTCCAGTGTTGTGCACGCGTTGGCGCCGTTTCACTGACTACATGTGAAGGCTTACACGTGTGCCGTCGGTGCGCCGGCAGCAGGCTGGAGCCCCTAATTATGTACGATTAGACGTCGCCTGTCCGGCCCGCTGCAGCCGCTGCCTGTACCTGGCATTCCTCAATGTGTCCAAGAGGCCTCCAAGGGACCAGGGCTCGATCCGGCATGTGAGAACGGAAAAAAAGTCATCAGGACAACCGGAATTCTCTTGACAATAAAAGAGGAATGCAATGGTACCACCATCATGGGAGCAGTTGGGTTGTACAAGGGAGTTTATGATTGGACTATATGAAAATGATAAAGATTATCCTGTTTAATTTATGATGAAATCAGGATTATCGTCAAAATATGCTTCAAGCGCTTAGAAGGGCCTTCAACATAATGGAATGACCTATTCGGTCAAATAGGTGAATAGTTAAATGCACCACAGACCGCACATATAAACCTCTTATTGGAAAACAAAACAGCTTTATTATTTCAAATAATCAAAAAGGAAATAGGTCTCTTTAATAAAAAACTAAATATAAAAAAATCATTGTGTGATCTTGTTATTTCTCACACTATAAAAAAATCTGAAAGTCTTCTGATTTGCAATTACGCAGGCAAATAAATGATAAGAAGAGTTGTTCCTCAATAATTTCATCCTTTCGTGCTCTTGTATTTTAGGGTAGGCGTCCTCTGGAATTTCCTTGTCGGCACTATTTTTATTTTCTTAATATATTAAATGTCTGATAACCCTCGTCCTCAATCATAATCACTTTGTCTGTGCATTTTCTATCTGTTTCCATCAGTTTTGTTTATCGGGGCCAAAGTGTTTACTTAGTGTTTCCTGCTTAGACACAAATCGTCATGCCAGCCGGCACCACTGTTAACAAAGGCGCACATCCTATAACTGACATCACACACAATTAGCCGAGCAGACAGCTTCGCTACCTTTGGCAAAGGGAAGACATCGTCACCGTTATGGCTCCTTTGGGGCATCGGCAGCTCTGCATTGGAGATGTAAGTGTAATACAGCAGGAATTTCCCCTGCTCTATGACCTGACTCCAACAATGGGGTGAAGTCAATGGCGCATAGTACAGACAGGATGAGAATACATGTCCATGTATGGATGGCTGCTTCCTTTGGCTAAGACCTGCTCCCCGTAGGGATTCATCATGTTCTCCGGAATCTGAATGGCAGTGCGCGCACAGTTTACTGGACGGGCCTTGAATTATAACATCAAACCGTATGCTGCTGCCTTGAGGTTGTCTTTACTCCTTCCATCTCGCCGCGAGGCCACAAAGCAAATGAAGCACATCCACGGGAGTCAAAGCAATGTAAGGGAGTGTCCCGACCCATGTCCGATCTGTGTCCATGTTAACCCGTCTTTTATTCATCTATTATCCCTCTTTTTTTTTCAGATGCACCTCCCTCTCTCTCCTCCTCTCCGTATCACTCCTTCCCCCACTTCCTGACTCCTTCCTGGCTCCTTTGACCCCTAAATGTTAGCAGATGAGAAGACACAACGCCAATAGTCATTCACCCTGCTCTTAGTGACCATTGTGTGTCTGCTTTGGTTAATACCCCCTCACCCTCTCAGCTCTCTTGCCCAGTAATGACCGGGGGGGTTAAACCCACGGTCAGTCCATAGAATCACAATGCAGAGCTGTTGCTTGGTTTCTGCTCGGCTGGTATGGAAACATTTAATCAAATGCGTGACGCTCAAGTATGAGGCTAGAGTTAAATTACCATATTGTTCTTATCAACATTAAAAAAATAAACCCGAAATGAATTAAGTACTTCCTGTCGAGCCCAAACCTGATACTATTTATAGCCTCCATGCTATAAATCCTCCTTGTCTTCCCAAAAACTGTTAACAACACATAAAAGAGACATACGGCTGTACAGAGTTTTATATTAAATGAACAAGTCAACGTAGACAACATTCAAAATCACAATCGGCCATTTTGGACCATTACGATTTGAAAATAAAAAGAAAAAAAGGCTTTTTTGTTCCTCTCAAACAGGCAGCTTTCACTAATGTAACCAAATCTCACAGTCTCAGCCTTTGTATTTAAAGACCTGTCAATTTGAGACCTATTGTCCCTCAGTTGAGGAGACACACACACACACACACACACACACAAGCACACACCCACTGAAACACTTGTGAAGTGGATGTTGCAGACGTGCTGCAGTGTTACTCCGTTTCCTGAGAATTGTTTGGAAGACTCTGTAATGTCTAATGCAGGATGAGTGCAGGGTGGGAATTGAACTATTCTTAGAATCACGCTTACGTATCTTCCCCCTTCAACCGCGTTGTGATACAGTCGAGCGCGACGTGTCCTCTGGTTTCTTACAGAATACTTGTGTGTTTCAGGGGGATCCTCTGCCTGCAGCCCTGGTGGAGCTGGTTAGAAACAGCCCCATCGCCTCCATAGAGGACCTTCAGCTGCTGCTGCTCACTGACTCCGTAGGTAAAGACCAGCCCGTCCTCACATCACCGTCCAAAACACGCACAAACCGGACTCAGAGTTCTGTCCACATCTTGTTTGAACCTTAACAACGTGTTCAAGTTTCATATTAGCAGAACATTTTTTTTTTATAAAACCAAAACCTAAAACCTTTTTTGAGAATATGTCGAAACTGAAGCGTACAGTTTGGCAAACCAATGACATTAAGCATTAGGACTGTTGGCATTCTTCATTTTCTGAATTACACAATTAAAATGCTGGCAGCATGATCAGATATGTAGGCAACAATTTCATGACAAACTGAGAGCGTCATGCAGCCTTTTTGTTTATGAGCATACGTTCAAAATAAAGTGTAAAATGCTTTGAACATGCAAAAGCAGATATGAATAATAATGATGATGATGCACATACAACAAAAATTCCTAAGTCTTACTCACTTAAGTAACGATATTTCCTTATAAATCACAAAAAAATACATACTATGTGATTAAATGAAAACCAACGAGACATAGTGGCTACATTTCTACCCTCATTGTGATAAGTAAACATCACGAGTGATAAAAGTCAGACAAACAGAGGAGCAGAGAGAATACATGACCGTAGCAACACACATGGAAAATAAACAGAGTAAGAATATGACAACAAGTCTAAGTCTTTGTATTTGTCTCTCTCTCTCTATGTGCATGATCATCAGCACACACAATAGCAACCCCCCACACCCTGTTGGTCTCTGTGTACATGCTAATGTTTTATCTCTGTACACACAGAGGGCGCTATTGGGCAAAAAAGAAAATACACCACGCGCCGAAAAAACAGACCATTCATAAATCAGTCGCCGCGTTTACACAAGTCAAACGCTGTGTTTGTTTATTGTTTTGTCTCAGATGAGGAGGACGGGATTGCAGCCAATGGAGGTCATAGACTACCAAGGAGCCTCGGTGAGCTAAACCCCCCACCGGCCTTCCCACCTCCCTCCTTTCTACTCCCCCCACAGTGTCGTCTGATAGACGGGTTTGTTGTGGTGATCAATGTGTCCCAGTTTATTGTACGGCCTTGAAGAGCGGACCATCCCTGATATTACTCTTGACCCTCTGTGAGGATGCTTCTGTGTAATGATGCATGTTTATGGGGCATCAGTAGTGCTGACATGGAGGATTCCTGATTTTCCTCATGAATGTAAAAGTACTCCATCCACATTTGTGGAGGGCTGCGTGTGTTTTCTGTCCGCCTTCTTTTGAGTTGATTCATGTGACAAGTATGGCTTCAGTGACACGGTAAAATTCCTCCCATTAACCTTTTTTTGTCGTTATCACGATAAAGCAGATGTCTGAATTACTGGACACATATGCAGCAGTCCGGGTGACTTTGTTAGATTCCCTCTAGCATGAGGAGACACTAATGGCCCAACATTAAACCTCAAATTTCCTCATGTTGCTGTGTAATAGACCAATGCAATATTAACCATAAGTCTGATTAGAAGAAGCTGGAAGAAAGTTTAATTTTCACCTCCTTGTTTCTGTTCAAGTACAGCTGGATATAAGTCATCTCTTAAATACAAACACAAACAAGGTAGGTGGGTCACTAGGGATGAATAAGTCAGCACAATAGTATTGAAAGGGTTTAAGCTGCTCATATTTGCCCCAGGCTCAACTCCTAGCAACCAGTGAGGGTTTAGATGTGGGTACATGTGCATTCAGATCAAATCTACAAAAAGGGAGAAGATTGTCTTGTTTCGTCAACAGTCAAATCGATAAAAATTCTGATTTGAACAATACTGCTAACACAAGGTCAAGCAGTCCTACTCACACTCACGGATGGATTACTGAACAGGCCTACAGGGCAGAGGCCAAGGGGCCAACGGGGCCAAGGGGTCAGGGGCCCCCTAAGTTTTGTCTGCAAAATGTCACAGAAAGAGACGCCAAATGACCACAAAGACACACAGCAACTACAAAGAGATGCAAGATGTCCAAAAGACCAGCAAAACATCTATGAAGAGACACATTGCTGACCGCATAAAGACACAACATGACCGCATTGAAGCCCGAAAACAGCCACAAAGAGATGCAGAGTTACCGTAAACAGAAAGCGCAATACCTCAAACAGATGCCCAGATCCTCAAGAAGATCACCGTGTCTTTGCTCAGTAGCCCATTGTTCCTTAATCCCTCCGCGCTCACACTCAGTCATATGTTGTCCCGCTCCGCAGATGCCCAGCTGGCTCAGCAAGCTCAGTGCAAAGTTCGTACCGAGGTGGTCGAGGTCACCCGGGAGATGTTGGACCGCAGCAATGGTCACTTCATGCTGTGGCCGCCCTGCGTCGAGGTGCAGCGCTGCTCCGGTTGCTGCAACACTAAGAGCATGCGCTGCGCCCCTGTCGTCACGCACACCAGATACTTGCAGGTAGACAACCGCGCAGCGCACAGTACGCTAATGTCTAAACACACGGGAGGCTGAACTTTGTGTTGCACTTGTGTTACCAACCGCACCAGGTCCTGAAGATCGAGTACGTCAACAAAAGACCCACCTACGTTAACGCCGTGGTGTCGGTCGTCGACCATGTGGAGTGCCGATGTCAGCCGGCTGCGCGCCACCCTGCGCCCAAGAAGAAATCGTTGCGCAGACAGCCAAGCCACCAGCATCAAAACCACACACTCAGCCAGGGACAAGGACAGGTACATTATGAATGCTGTTTTGTGAGCCATTTGAAGCCGGGTGAATGCTTTAGAAGTACTACTTGTGCACGTCTAAATGTATATAGACCTTTAATCTAGCTCTACATCTCTTTTGTGTGAACTTTGAAAAATGTTGGTCCATCTACTCTCTTTGTTAATGGTTCATCGACTTGACTGTAGGATTAATGAACTAAACTAAGATCCAACTGATTTGAACATTTCTACCATTTCATTGTGAAAGGTCAAGGTGCACTCCAAGGATGAACTCCACCAGTGGGATGATCTGAAGCAGAACCAGAGGGCACACCTGGAGGACCTCCTGGAGCAGCACTGGAGTCCCAGAGGAGACACCTTCACTCAGCCTGGAGACGTTTACAGCCTGGCTGAGAAAGATCCATCCCGCATTGGAGAGGCTGTGGTTTTTTCTCCACTTTGGGAGCAAAATGCCACCACGCTTCTTGAGACTAAAGACCAAATTGAAAATCTGGATGACGTGCAGAGTGAAAATGCAAGGATCTCATTTGTCAACAAGACTGTTTCCTCGGTGGATAATGTTGGCGAGGAAGTAAAGAACGAGCTGGTGGAGGGAGGAGACGGATTGCTGCTCCTCAGCACCGAAGGGAACGTTAACGAGGGAAACGGTAGCAGGGAAGAAGGCACGGAAATACACAGTCCATCGTGGCAAGACGAAAAATCCAAACTTTCGAGGAGTGGATCTTCTCACCCTGGTAACCAGAATCCTGAAACTGAGTTCAGTCCTACTGAGGCGCCCAGTGAGATAGTTGGGATCAGGTTAAGAGCGACCAAAGAGCCAAATCCAGAGCCTCGAGAACAGGCGAGACGGAGAGACAATGGCACTCCTGAGGAGGTGAGGATATTACAGACCGAGGAGGAAAAACTGCAGCAGGAGAGAAAAGAGCTTCTACTTCTCCACAAGAGGCTGGACCAAGAGAAGGAGATACTGAGACGCCAGCAGTTGAAACGAGAAGAGCAGGAAAGGCAGAAAGAAAAGGAAACTGGTAGCCAACATCACCTGCATGGTAAACATCATCATCATCTGCAAACAACCACACAAAATCCAGGTATGAGACATTATCTAATAATTTGGGTAGTGAAAATAACATAGATAAGAATACTGGCTTTTAGCTCAGAGTAAAATAATGTGCTAAATGAAACGTAGTTGTAGTTTTCTTGTACAGTTTCACAATAACACAGAGCGAAAGTGTAATGTATACTTCTGCTAATATTAACAACATCGTATTTCAACAGCAACAACATCTACGAGTACCACAAAGCAGCCAGCGGTTCACACAGGCCCCAGACCCCCAACACGCCCGAAGAAAAGGATGAGGAAGAATCGCAAACGAATCAGCAAGGCAGCTATGAGAGCAATGCTCATGTAGAGGTCAAGTAAAGCCAAGTGAGTTTACCGCATCTTTAAATATTTCCAGAAATACTGAAATCATTTATAAACTGTTTAGATTGGAATGACCGTATGTAATATTTCTTTATTCTATATTCCATATTATGCAGTCTAAAGCACATCTTTCTATGTTCCCACCTCAGGAGGCCAAGTGAACTTGGCGTATTTTGCGGATTCAGAGGTGAAGCAGAGTGACTCCCTTCATTTAAGTACTTATTCACTCCGTAACACTACTAACGACTGTCTGGTGAAACCTGTAACTCCACCTGCCTGGAGAAAGCACGGCGGCAAGAAGACAATGGAATATAAATAAAAGAGGGACCTTGTCTTGCCTCTACAACAACTGTTGCCGGTATGAAGACTGACAGTTTGCGCCAAAGCGCAGAACCTGTGGGACTGAAACTGCATCGCTTCAGGACTGTGGACAATAGTGCAATTTCAGAACTCTTCTTGAAACCTTGTTTCGATATCAACTGAAAGAAACCGCCCTTAGATGTCGACAAATGGGGGTTAAATGGGGTTCGCATAACAAAGTCTGTTGCTGAAAGACTGTTTTGAAAGCCACAATCAGCCACAATAATTGACATGAAATTGGACATTACACTTTTGTGTTTATTGAAAATTTACTTTAATCAGATTGTCTTAGTGGCAATAATCTGCAACAAGAAACAGATGTTCACTGAAATGAGCAGTATTTCCACGAGCTACACGAAGATGAAGCTGTGTAGATTGACCTGTTATCAATTATTAGCTCCGTAGAACAGCGATGGTTCCCTCATTAACCGTATTTAATTATATTTAACTCATTGCAAACACTGGAATTACACAGATGTGATAAGAGAACAAAAAGATGAATTGGTGCATTTCAAAATCTCATCAAAGGTGTAAAGAACAAGGTGCTATCTGAATAGCGTTACACCAGTGTCCTGACGTCGCTCTATGATTCTTATTTATTTATCACTGCCATTTTCTTTGGATTTTTTTTTTACACGACATACTACAAACTATATGTGGTTTTGTCACGGCTGGGTGGTTCAAACAGAAAGAAAGACATCAAGATTAAAAAAAGATCAAACACTTCTGTGTCCTTCCAGGTTCATGCAGTGTTTAACTTGCAACATTTATTTTGTTTTGACTAAAAGTGCTGTTGTGTGTGTGTGTCAGGGCTTAGGCCCACACCTACAATGCTCTCATGCGTCTCAATACTCATGTAAAAGCATTAATCTCTTTGTTTTGGTCTCTTTCTCTCCTTTTCAATGAAACAAGCGCCAAGCTACACATGTTTCTTCACGTGTCCCATTGAATTTGTTTTATTAATCCAACAAATTGTTTTTGACATTTCAATTACTGGAAATGAGAAGGGGCAAAACAAGAAAATGAAGAGTTTCTTAGGAGGACAGCTAAAAGCTGAACATGGCAAATTTTGTGTGGAAACATGCCGATGATCCTATTTGTGTCCAATAATCCATAATCGGACAAATATCTTAAGTTATTAAAAATACGACCCGCACGTTCTTAATGCCAACCTACAACTGTTACTGTTTTTGTCTGTTTTGTTATGACAAAAAATGAGATTTTTGCAATAATTAATGCTATTTTCATATGGGTATGAAAAGCTAATGTTCTTAAATCTACTTGTTTGTCTACAGTGTTTTGTGTTTTTATTCCTTTTTTCACCGGTTTATCCTCTACGAACACACATTTGCTTCCAGAAGGCAAAGTTTTGTTATGAAATGGTCAACGTGCTATTCAGAGAAAGTCACTGGGCCGTGAATGTTACCCCGTGATGAGCAGGCGAATTAGAACAAGGCATAAAAAGAGTCCGTAGTCATGTCCGCTGCTCAGATAGGTTGTACAGCAATGCTACGAGCTAAATGCCAACATGCTAACATGCTGATGCTAAGCAGGTGTCGTTTTTAAGTTTGGCATGTTACCGTGCTAATATTTGCCAATTATTACTACACAAAGTCAAGCATTGACTTGATGACTATACTAAAAGAGGCAAGGATACCCCGAAGGGAATGAAATTCATCCTTTTGTGCTACATTTATAGAAACCCATCCAACAGTTGTCAAGGCATTTTTTTTTAAGGTCACAGGGAGCTAAATTCCAACGCCATGGATGTCTGCATCAAATGTCATGGCAGTCTGTCCAATTACCACGGAACTTTAGTCAGAACCAAAACGGAAAACTCCAAACGGTTGTAGGATTTATTCAGTTGTGTCACAGTGCATCCACAGCCGCGAGAGACATCATTACATTAAGGGTTCAACACTGCCGTGTGCTAAGCGTTAGTCCCGGTCAAGTGCAACGTCCAAATCTGACCAAAAAGGAGAGCGGGAGAAAAGAACGGGAGGCGGTTGATGTAGTGAACTCTGGCACACGCTCTCTTTGTGGTTTGTTTTTCACATTTACCCACTTCACTCTTGGCAGCAAAAACTCCCTCACTCAGCAGGCAGCTGCACAGTTTGTCTGCTAATTATCTACTCAAGAGGCCATCTGCTCTGCCTTTGAAATAAAATCACGTGAGATATGTCTTCAGATTCAGAGCGATGAGAACGTTTTGACAGGTACTGTACGTAATTATGGTCTTCACTTATGTTGTACTTGTACTTACCGCTTGATATGTGCGTTGATCATTGGGTTTCATGTGTGTCAAATGACAATTTTGCAGAAAGCTGCCATCGTCTGTCTCACACTTCACCCCCCGTACTCAATTCAGTGTGTATTCTGGTATGCATGCGCTGCTTGCCTCCCCGTTGCCCCACTGGCAATCTCACACAGACACACTACTTCTAAACAGCGGACCATCTCTACATTCGGCACGGAGGTGGGATGCCAGTGTTTCCGCAGGTGTCCCAGCAGCCCCCCCCCCCCGCCCACGCCCACTTCAAACAAGAGCGGGAAAGAGAAGTGCGTTGAGGCTTGTTGGCTGTGACAAACCCACACAGGGGTCGACCACCATGACAGTGTGGGAGGGTCTCTGAGGGGACCAAGACTAAAGACACGAGATGGTTCATAGCTCACTGGTTGACCTTAAAGGACGATATGGCTTGTTGGGTCTATTCAACACTGTTACCAAACCGGCAAACAACCACTGGAACAATATAATGACCCATGGAGACCAGGACCCTGCCGGCAATTGAAGGAAGACCAGCCTGCTTACAAACCGTGACCCCACTATTATCATTATTTAGTCGTTGGTGCAACACAGATGGTGGTTTAACTCACGTTGTGGGGAAAAGAGACCCACAGTCACATTACGGGGACTCATCCCAACGCGTGTCCCCAAAATGTTGGTTTGGAGCTGGGTTAAAGGTAAGATCAGGCTCTGGGTGGAGCGTGACTGTGGTCAGGGTCTGAGTAAGTAGATAATTAGTGAAAACAGGTCCTCCTAAATGATGGAAACAAGCTTGTGTGAAAGTGGCATTAAACAATGCAGTGGGCCTCTGGGAGTGCGCATCCATTCAGAATGAGAGCGGCTTCAATTGTTATTCGACTAGAAGCCTGTTGAGGATCCATTCTTCTTCTTTTGTCCTATCTTGTCGGTAAGGAGGGCGGGGGGGGGGGGGGGGGGGGGCGCCTTTCTGCGATTCAAATGTCCAACTGCAGATTTTCAAACACCAACGAAAAAGCATGGTTGCGTGCTTTTGTGGATGATTTCAGATATCTATAAGTATATTTTAACAACAAATACAACAGCAACAGTCGAGTCCCCTGACGGACTTCCTCTTAAGACAAAACAGTTTTTCGGCATGACCTGAACTCCCTGATGTACAGTAGTGAGGAAACAGGAGGCCTTAGAACAGGAGGTTACGCAAGCATCCGTGTGGAGCCACGCACTCTTTACACCTTCCACTGCTTTTATTTTCCTGTTTTTATGTACGACAAAGGACGGGGACACGTTGTACGCTGTTGATCACACAGCTTCTCCGTCATCAAGCACATACACACACTCAGCCTTTCCATGAACACACACCGATGTCCGATGCTCGTTTCTATTCTGATCAATATGAACCCTCCACTCACACTCTCCTTCCTGGGAACAATAGCGGACCGACGGAGACTCTGAGGAATGTGACTTGTTTTTGGGGGGGGGGGGGGGGGGGGCTGAGCCTCTGAAACAGACTGGAATGCTGGGGAAAAACACATCAAATGGCTTTTCCGTGACCACGGCCAAGGCCAAACAGAGGAGCGGGTGAGCGTCTTTGCGGACATCGTGACTCAGTCGGTGAGCGTCAAACTGCTCCTCATCGGACAGGAAGTCGTACCTAGCGATGGGCTGAAAACACGGGAAGTCAATATCAGCGCGCCTGGAATTCCAGCATTGTGTTTTCTCCACGGTGACGAGAAAAACATCGCGCATCGCTCGTGCACCATGATAAAAAATGTGTCACAGCACTGCAACCTCATACGTGCACGTAGTCTACAGATGTGCAGTAGACAGAAAACGCTCCTTATTTGGGCGGGAGATTTAAAGAAAAAGAGACAACGAGAAGACATCACTGTTGACAAAAACATCTGTCCTATTCCTAAAACAGGTTATTAGCACAATATAAAAGAGCAATAAACGTATGTGATTCCTCTTTGACTATTCTGTTGTATGCATTTTTAAAGTGCTAAGAAACACACCCGAAGAAGATGCCAAGTATCATGTGTCGACACTAAATATATTTTGTTTAATTTAATGTGTGCGTGGGCCTCAGTCGACGAACAGTGAAATTGCTGGTGCAACACAACATAGCAGCACATCGGCATGTAGATAACATACTGTATATATATATATATATATGTATATATATATATATATATATATATATATATATATATATATACACATCCAGCAACACATAGGTTACAATACTGCCAACAACGTCCTAACTCACACACCTTTGTGCAAACGTGCAAACATGACCGCAGCGAACACGGTCAGCCAACGTCCCCCCTCTTTCCATGAAACGCTGTCGACATAATTCTGTGTCTTTCCTCTCAGCTGTGAGGGAGACGGGGAATTCAGGGAAGGACAAGAGAAGGAGCTACCTTTCAACACATTCCACCAGATTCTTAAGAATCCGTGTTTTAGACATTCTGAGTGTAACGTATTTACATTTACATGTTGTTACATGTTTGGGGAAATATACAAGGAAGTGAACGAAGCGATGATGAATCTCTGACCATGAAATGAAACCTTTTGAACTTCACAAAGGTGTTTTTTTAAAGGAGGACGGGGCAGGGGAAGGTTGTATTGTGTCGTATCGGAGTGTAAGGTGCTTCTGTTGTTTCATCCTGACCTGGAATGCGTGAGGAAGTTTGCAAAAAAAAAAAAAAAAAACTGAAAAAGCCTGAAGACATACTGAAGTCCATAGATAGTCTTGCATTGCACTTAGCTCACTACTGCCCTCCATTGCCCGGTGACACATCAGATAAAACCACCCCAATGGTTCATTTCAGTCAATGCATTATTTTTCACGTGGAAGCATAAGAAGTTTAAAATAAAGTGGAAAGCTGATATTAAAAAACAAGAAATCCCAGATGGATGACTCAAGGAATCAGCCCCCCTCCCTCCCTCCTTCTGTGGGTTCACTTGGCTGCACTCATGAAGGCCGCGGGGAGGTGGCAGTACCCCGAGGCCTGTGCCTGGCACCAGGGGGGGGAGGGTCCTGAGGTGGCATTCTGGCTGCTGCTGGCGGTCTCGCCGGGCTCCGGCGGCCCCTCCGTGTCGTCCGGACCCCGATGGTCCCGCTCAGCGGTGTCGCGTCTCTGTGAGTTCCCTTCGGCGCCGCTGTGAGATACGAGATCCTGTGTGGACCTGGAGACGCTGCGGCCCGGCAGACACACGTAACCTTCCCCGTAGAGGGCCGACATCACCGGGGAGGGAAATGGAGAGCCGTCCGACGGGGGTTCTTCCTCCCCCTCCTTCTCTCCACCCCTGACGTCCGGGGACTCGTGGTTCGCTTCTGACGACTGTTGGAAAGAGACGACGTGGTTCAGTGTGGCTCTTAGTGGACAAATGAATAATAACATTCATTCGCTCATCTATAAAGTGCTATGCAGCACGTGGTGACCGTCCTTTTCTTCTCACGACATTTGCATCGTACTCAAGACATAATATATAATTGTATGTGTGATAATTTTGAATGAAAGGAAATGTTCATAATTTGCCTTTCATTGCTGAGAGTTAGATGAGAAAATTTATACCACACCCGGCAGCCAGTTAGCTTAGCATAAAGACAGACAGCCCCACCAAAAATGCTGCACCTTGTTTGTTTTATTTGTGCAATGTGTTAAAAACGGCACGTTGTAGTTTTATGAGGGTCACGTGGTGCACTTCTTCTTGTCCTGGATCCTGGAATTACATGACCATGATCCAGGACAAGAGGAACATGTACAGTACCAGTCAAAAGTTTACGATTCCTCCTTCTGGTCAACACAGCTATCGGACCAGAAGAGGTAATCAGTTACCTCACCAATCAGAGCTCCACTCGGACACATACTACATACTAATAAGTATTTCACACTTCATTGCGTATTGGACCTTATTCCGTCTGTTACTGCGTAGCCTGTACAGGTCATCCCTGACAAACCACTCTGGTTGAGACCAACTAACCTGACAGAAGATGTACGGGCCGCTGAAGCTCATGGAGGACGTGTCAGAGTGCTCATCCTTCTCAGCACGGGGGGGCAGGTTATCGCACTCCCAGCAGCCCTCATCCTGCTCCAGATGCTTTTGTCCGACGTCCAGCGGCCACAGCAGAGCGGCCGAGGAGCTGCTGGTGGACGGAGCCGAAAAATGAATTTAGACTTTAATTATTACAGCTGTATTTCACACATCTTTTCTTCCATGGAAGCAGACTTTATTATTAGTATAATTATCATCGGTGATAAATGCGTTACCATGTCGACACGACGCTGTCCAAGCGCATGACTTGGCAGATGCTCATGCTCTCCCCCTGCATGAGGGTCCTGTTGCTCGCCGACTGCATTACAAAAAAATGCATCAGGTTTTACACATTAACGCTTTCCTTGATGCACCACAAATGGAGAAAATTCAATCAAACGGTGCAATCATCAAGCCTCACCTTGATCTCGGAGAGGATTTTGCTTTTGCCCGGGGAAGGGACCGAGTCCACCCACAGAACCGCCCTCCTGTTTGTTCAAAACACACCACGTGAAACAGCCAGGTAGCACACAGGTGCAGCCTGTGTGCTACTTTTGTGTTTTACAAGGCCGTACATTTCCATCGAGAGGTTCTCACTAATGTGAATACTTAAATTTCCTCTATCGATGTTTTTGTAGGTATTGCATTTTTAAGTGGACATATCATGAAAAAGTCACATCTTTCTCACAAGCCAATGAAAGCAAAGAAAGATGCTCTGCCCCCTCTAGATATACTTTGGAATGGATGTGCATGCTGCAGTGGCACTCAGGTCAGGTAATCTCAGGTGTAATGAGAGAAGCACAAATACAGTATTACAGACATAAAGTACCTTCGACAAGCCGGAACGGTGAAGTAGATTGTGAGGAAGACGGCGGCTACAAACAGGCTGAGGGTGAAATAGATCAGCGTTGTTGGAGACCAGGTGGCTGTCAGGAGATGAGAAATCAGAATTAATGTTGATAACAATCACTCATGGTTTGTATTACGATGTTTTTTTTGCCCCCCTTGAATAAACTGGACGTGAATAAAAACCCCATTAATGGAATGTTTTGCTTCTGCCTGTGAGGTACCTTCTTGGGAGGTCCATTCCACCGGATCGGTCCATTCAGAGGGGATTCCTCCATAGTGGCTGTCACCAGTCACCAGCGACCTGACCTTGACCCAGTAATGCCGCGAAGGGGCCAGAGACGTTCCCAGGATGCTCAGGGACTTGGACCCCTCTGAAATGTTCAGCAGGACCAAAGATCCCTGAAAAAAAAGGATGCCGTGAAGTTTATTAACGGGGTGTTCGTCGTTGCCATGCAGGGAATGTCAAACGCTCAACATGAAAGCTCACCTGCTCCTGCGTGCTGTAATAGCGCACCTGGTAACACAGCCGGACCTTTGAAGGGGTGCTCGGCTTAACCCACTCCACCATCCAGTTGGTGTCTTTCTGCCTCACCTCCACCTGCTGCGGCGCGCCGGGACGAACTGAAATGTCCCATTGCAACATTTAGGGTGACACAATAAAACTAATCCGTACTGTCTGGTAATAAAGAGACACGGATGCAGTGGTGTCAATGAAACACTAGGTGGGGTCACGCAATCACGCCACAGCCGCTCAGCGCACAATGGGGGACTTCTCCTTTCCACTCACTGTGTTTGGAGGCATGGAACGTCTTGGCCTGGCGCTCTGGAAGGAGCTCCACGAGCAGACGTGCAGGGTCTGCGACAGCCAGCGAGCAGCTGTACCTCAGCACGGCCCTGCCGGGGTCCGGGCTGACTGTGGGGTTCGCGCAGCATCTCTCCGACCTGAACGCAGGGAGCAAAAACGCTGGGATGGAATGCGCGGCAAACGGGATGCGTCTTTTTCGGGCCTAAAACCTGGGTGGTGTTGTCCACTTACGGCGCAGTCCGGTTGTGTCGACATGCCAGCTGGTAGGTGACGTAGTGATCCACCTCTCTGCTCACCTCCCAGCTGCACGTCGCCGCTTCCTCTCCGTCCAGCACGCAATGCAAACTGGGAACCAGCACCGTGCCTGCAGAGCCAGAGTCAGAAAGGGAGTGAGCTAAGAACAACGGCTGCAAAGCATCCAGGTGCTTCAAAGGAAAACGGTCAGAGGGAGGAGATTAGAAGTGTGAGGAGAGGAGACAAGGAGCGGAGTTCGTGCCAGAGGAAAAATGCCCCGACTGGAGGAAAATGATCCACTGCATGCGATGTGTGAGCGGGTTCACTGAGAAATGTCAGAGCCGAGGCTGATTTGTACCCACACGGGGAAGAATGCACTCAGCAAATCTTTTGAATCACCTTCTTCAGCGCGCCAGGTCACCTCAGGACTCCAGACGCTCCATTGAGCCACACTGGCCCGGGCCCTCAGCCGGGCCTCGTACAGGCGACCCGGGAGCAGCAGTCGATTCTCTAGTTTCACACTCGTGTCTGTGAGGTTCTCGGTCTGTAGAGGACGAAAAGAGACGCCGTGCGTTTACTTTGACAGGGTGAAAACTGACGTGTTACACAGAAAAGCTCATTTCCCCTGTTGTTGTTATTCGAATGGCCATCGTGTAAACGAATGTACACTCTTATTTACGTTTAGTTTGGACAAAATGTTCTTTAAATGAAACACGCGACCAAAAGGCAATGTGTTATCGCGCTGCATATTAACACCTGCCTCACACCCCGAAGTGTTTTCTACTCCTTCCTTTAACTAGAAACAAAGCAAGAAGCGGTTTGTCAGTTATTATGGTATGTTGGGGGACTGCGATCGTACCACTCGGCATAAATGCTACCGAATTCACAAATCCAATTTCTGTTTTGACATTTGACATTTTCTGATCCTTTCCATCATTTAAAAAGGTTTTCAATTTCAGTGTTGTGTCCCACAGTCAAAGGCCGGCAGCAAGTTGTGCGGAGTGAGACATGCGCTAACCGTCCAGTCGTCCCGTCTGTCTGTCCTGTAGCTGAGCTGGTAGCTGATGTTCAGGGTGGAGGAGGAGGGGTACGGGCTGGACCAAACAAGCCGCCTGCCTCCATCACCTGCGCCACGCGTGGACACATTGACCGGTGGGCGGGTTCTCACTGTGCGTCACAAACAGGCACGATGGTTTATTATTGTTCACCAGCACATGTAACCACCTGCATTATTGTATTGCTGCTCGCTTAAAAGTGGCCGATGTGACTCACGGTGCAGAGAAGCATCCTCGGGCTTGTGTGTGACAGGTGAGCAGGGGGTCAGCGCTTTGTCCTCCACGAAGAAGACCGTGTGTTTGATGCCAATGGAAAAGGCCCGAGTTCTGTATCTGCACTGGGAAGTCCGACGTCCGTCCTGAGCTCCGGCGCTGTGCGGCGCACACTTCTTCCTGCAAGGACATGAACACTGTGCAGCTGTGGGACGGAAGACGCTGGTGCCCAGATGTTCCCCACGATCCCACATCCTCAACAGACACTGTCCCCCATTGCTCTCGTTCTTACGCGTCATTTTCTGTCTTGAACCAGAGCTGCAGCGACTCGTTTCCGAGTTCCCTCCACTGGCAGTGGACGTAAGACTCGTAGTCGTTGTGGCACTTTAGGGACGTCAGCAACGGAGACGCTGGTACGGGAAGACAAGTTGCTTTCACATGATTGCCAGTAACTCAAAATGAAAATGAAATGAAATGACTCATTGGCTTTTGTGGAAAAGAGGATGTAACAAAAAGTAAAAACATTAGTTTTAAATTTAAAAAACGAATTCACGTTTGTAGGACTAATGTGTAATAATGTGTGAATGGCTTTTTGTTGCCGCCAGTAACAACTCGATCATGAACAAAATGTTATCCCAGAAAAGGGCTTAAAACATTGGAGAAAAAGAAGAAAGCCTAAAAAGAATAACAAAATAATCCCCAAAGTACTTAAATTCTCGTATAATACCTCAATGAGATTCAATTTCTAATGAGATTTAGGATACGCATTAAAACCTCTATATGAAATATGATGAAACTGGGAAACGTTCACAGATTTGATTGATAAATAATGCTGGTGGCGACAGGTGACCACGGAGAGACTTACTTTTCTGCAGACCACTGCTCTCCTGAGCAATACAACAGTGTGGAGCACAGGAGAGAGCCAGGGGAAGGAGCACTGACCAAAGCAAGACCCAGAAAAGAAGCATGGTTCCTGGGGGCAGACGGGGCGGGATCGCCCCCCTCCCCGTTCCTCAGACTGCCTCTGGAAACGTTCCTGTGTGTATTCGCAGCATCCACCAGCCTGTGGATGAGATGAAAAGTTGGGCACGCCGCAAAAAAAAAGTGTACATGAGGGAGGGAGAGAATTGCAAATGCGTTTACTAGAAATAATGAAGAAATGAGTCATGACCACACTACCAGCACTCACTTCTGCTTTGAGAGTCTGCTTGTTGTGGGATGTCACCACATATCCGCCTGCCTCTTATCTCCCCCACTCACATGTGACACACCAAGAACACATGCAGTCTCTGGGGTCCAAACAGTAAGTAAACCGTTCCAATTACTGGCGACACGCATGGGGATTTACCACACTGTGTATAAATATGTACACGAGACTGTCGCATCCAACAAACTCACCAGTGCTGATTGAACATCACATCAAATTTTGTGGACTGCATCGTTTTAGGATGAACTACTTTGTCCCATATAATCTTTCAACAATCAAATAATTTACAAGCATGATGGAGTTTTGTTTCTGCTTAGTTATAAATGCCCTTTTGCTTTTTTTTTTGGGGGGGGGGGGGCAATGGGGGTGTGGGGGGGGTTGTACTATACTATCTTCCATAAAAAGGGATGTTCTCGCATCCAAAAGTCCCCGTCAGTTACACAACATAGTTTTTCTAAATTGACATCAATCCTTTTATTCCGGATTATTTATCGCTTTTTTTTCCACAAACAACCTTTTCACAATAATGTGAATTTATGTCATTGATGACAGAACTCAATAAGAAAATCATTTTAAGATATTAACACGCATCTAGTGGCAGATTCCTTATTCATTTGTCAGCAATCCCTTTTTCTATTCTTTAGGATCTTAATGAGAAACATTCTATTACACTGATTTTGAGGATTAGAAATTCAACTTCTTAATCTCTTTAGAAATCGTCGTCAATTCACAACCTTTTTCATGAGATGTTCTATAATATCCTCAAACGAACAGAGAACTAAGCGATAAAAACACCTGAGGTGAACCTGGAACCAGAGGAGGTAATCTGAGTCGGGGGAAGCCCCTCCAGGGGCAGCGTGGTGCAGCAGGTCGCACAGCGGCACGGCCGACATGTTGCTGACATCAAAGGCAACCAAAAACCTGATTCTACCTGCACATGCAGAGAAATAACAGCAGGCATGACGCGTCTGAGAAGATCCCGATGATGTAGAAACTGTAAACTGATTTGACTCTTCGGGGGGGATAAGATCAGCTTTTACACACAATACCGACATTTCTTACCACGGTCACCCTGTTACAACAGTTTTGTTGGATTCCTGTAATTCCCCAGTAATTCATATCTGATTCACAGGATGTCAACACGTCGGATCTGATCTGATCGCCGTCACTCATATAAATACAGTTCTTTTGACTTCCTCCTTTCAGATGAATTAACAGGATGGAAAATGAGCATTCTGAACATACATGAATACCCCACACATGAACCCGTTCATACACCAGGCACAATGCGATGCTTTCACTGACAATGCATGACAGCAATATCACTGTCACATCTAACGGAGATGAAAAAATATAAAAACATGTTCCGCGTTCAGTCAAACTTAGTTTACTGTGAGTTTTCCCCCTTTTGCCCGTGAACAAAATTGAAATAAGACGGTTTGTAACCATAACTTTGTAGAAATTCATATGACAGGCGCTGGATTATTTCCTGAAGCTTTTTCTTTAAAATATCACACTCATAATAAAACATCCCCAGGTGATAATTACAGCGTTCAGACAATTTCAAGCTGGGAAATAAAACCTTGGTTTGAAATAGAAACAACCGTTACCAAGTCTCCTCGTACGTCCAGTTAATTACATTCACATACCTCTCATAACACAGAATCTCAATGTTTTTTCTTTCACCGCTGCTTCCTTCTTGTCAGCCGGCTCCTCATCGCCGCTGTCGAGAACTGTGGGAGTTTCCTGTGTGACGGCTTCAGTTTCCCCTTTCTGTCCACTTAGATGTCAAGTGTCACTTCAATGCACTTCGTCGTATTCACGAGATTCAGATGAAAAGACACATGTTGAAATGAAACGCAAAAGCCCATGTAATGACGGAATAGAACGGAACATTGTTTGGCACAGAATCAGAGCCATGTGTGCTTACCCATATGTGACGTTTGACTCTGTACTTTTCACAGTTTCTTTAACAAATAAACACGAAAATGTAAAAATATAAAACTAGGACGACCCCCAAAAAGTAAGAAGTAATACTGTTGTGTGTATACACTGTGTATAGAACATAAATGAAAGCACACAAAACAACAACACAAGTCTCCTCATCAGGAACACTTCTTTTACATTTCCTGTTAATACATTGAAACACACCAATTGTTCCTGGTGTCACAAAGGAATTTGGTTTCATGGCGCACGTCTACCAGCTTCTCACACGCATCAGTGGTTAAGCGACCGCATGCTCGAGATAAGGTTTCCGCCACACACATCTCGCCCAACTGCAACTGTCACACTCAGCCGGGTTGTTTACATTTTGAATGGTCGGAATTCGTTATGTTATTCTTTACAGCCATTGTCTCACTTGAGCAACCAACTTTACATTTTCCTACGAACGAGTTTAGAGGGCGAACGGAGCGGCGCGGCCTCGCTGCTGCCAGTCGCAGGGCGGCGAAGCGCGATCGCTTGCTGCGGGGGCGTCGCGTAGTTTCGCCCACTTCTTCTTCCCACGTCTGAGAGGCCTCTGTGCTCGTGTAACGCTGCAGAGACTGAATTATATTACAGAATTACACCAGATTAGAGGATTATACTACATTAGACTGTTGGATTAGATGGCATGAGATTGAATAGATGAATACCAACAAGATGGTAAAATAATTGAGTTTACTAGATGAAGATGGTATAAGTACACGTAATCAGGTACGATTGTGACAGTCATGTATTTATTTTAGTCTGTTTATCAGACGTGTTATTTTCTTGATTTATAAAATAGTTGTTTTATTGATGAACAGGATATATTACAAATGTGCACTTCCATGTTTAAGCATCAGTTATATCATCTCTACTAGTGTTTTACCATTGTTTTGTTGTTCAATTCTATTTGGGTGTTGTAAATAAAAGTAAATAAAAATGGGGGGGGGGCCACGGACGCTACAGCCGGTGGGCGCCGCGGACACGGCTCGGGGACCGATTCCTTGGCGTGAGGAATTGGATGTGTGGCGGGAGTGCGTGACACTTAAAAGACAGACAGTCCGTCTGTCCAATCAGAAGGGTCCGTCCTCTGCTTCCTGCTATAAGGCCCTACCCTTTCCGTAAGAACTTAATGTCGTTGTGTTTTCCTATTTGCCGTTGTGTTTTGCACTATAGGGCCACCGTACATTACACTGTAAAAACCCATATTATATTGAGTACAAGTTTATATTCAACTACATCCCCTTTGGTTATAACAGCGTCGATTTACAGGGTTTCAGTCTCATTTTTAATAGAGAAGTAAGAGAAGACTTTTTCATAGAGATTTGATTCATTTGTTTAACAATGTATTCCCTCCATTTCATGGTGAATCCGGAAGTATGCCTCAGTATGTCGGTGAAAGTACGAGTTAGAATTCAAATATATATATAAGCTGAGACATTTTTTATGTAACCGTTGTTTTCTCTCAATGTTTCTCTGCTCTCCTTTTATGATACTGAGTCATTTGCGGTGGATCACTTCTAATCCACAAATGTCATAATGAGGCAGAACACCTCAATCACCAAATCCTATTTACTTGCAATCACACTCACGCAGTAACTTCTGTGCCCCAATAGAATTAATAAATAGAAAATCTCTCTCTTTTCACTTTGAACTGCTCTTGAACCGACCTTCTCATCATTGCAATAATCACTCAAAAACAAATGAGAAGTGATCACAGACTCATTTTAGATCTTATCTGATGCTCGGTGTGCCACATGGGCGTCACATCGCATACATTTCAGCTTCAGATGCACTCGTCGTTTCGATGAGGGTGGATTCTGCCCAGCAGGTCACGTCGAGTCGGACACTCTTGGCTTGATGGCCTTTGAGTTGAAACAGCCAATTAAATGTGACCAAGATGAAGGAGATTTTAAGGCCATGTTGGGAAGCAAAACATCCGTGCACCGCATCAGATGTTTAGGGTTATAAATTCATCTTTCTTTAAAAAGGATAAATAGAAACCCAGTGGATTTACTTTTTGTTCTTCCTGATGATCGAAAAGCCAGTTGATGTTTCTCTTTCTTTCTTTATTCCTTTGACTTCCTGCTGACAAACATCTTAAATGCCACAGCCTGCGAAAAGTTGATGATGAGTGAAGATACAGTGCGACCAGTTCCTCATTTCAGCTGCCATCACTTTGCTGTGACTCACGCGATTGACACTAGCTCTACTTCTGGATTTTCAACGTCCAGCGGTGTTCAAATCCCGTCAATAGCTATTTAATGGACATATCCTTTATTTCTCTCAAAATGCAGGTTGTCTTTCTTTTTCACTCCAAAACAATATGTAACGTGTTGATTCAGAGGAGTCAGTGTTCTCACGTCACAGTGCAGTTTGATCAGTTTGGGAGACGAGAATATCTTACAGAAAAAAGAAGACTTCCTCTGGTTCTCAGAAATAACAAGGAACTCACTCATCAACATGGCGATCTGAATATATCGGCTACTTTCGAGTCATATAGGAGGAAACGTTTCAGTCAGTGGTATTTAGCTTATTAAGTGTTCTTTGCGCTGCCCCCCAAAAAAACACACAGCACGAGTGGGTGAAGTCCGTAAGGGTGAAACAGATGTTTACCTGCAGCACGACATGATAGTGTGGTACAGGTTATTTTTACACTCTTCTGTACACACTACATGCACATCAGTCATCTACCCATCATTCAGTCACAATCCTCCACCGGGCCGCCTGGTGACGGTAGACTGCCACTGCTCTTTGCTCACAGCCTGACGTAGCGGGTGGATGTTGGCGGCGCAGGAACACAATGGCACGATTGTAGTGCTTCATTTCAGTCTTTGCTATTATCCTGGAGCGGACAAAGCCTTTCATTTGCACAAACTGGAGTGAATTCGGCAATTTCACGTGGCGCCAGAGGTCTGGGTTGTGATTACGCAACCACCTCTGAAGGTCCTCAAAAGGTCGTCTGTTGCAATGACCTTGTTCCTGTCTGATTCCACAGACGCACGCGCCACGTCACGGACAACGAAAGCACGTTTGTGCTCCTTTGTTTATATAGTTTGAACTCCAAGAATAAACTTAGATATAAACGTATAATTCAAACTATACAGTGCGTCTCATGTATATCATCCAACTATAGAATGCTTATCTAAAAAAATAAAATCAAAATGAAATGGATGGACATTGTTGATCAGTATCAGTTGATAAGTTTAGTAAGGTTTTACAGATTATATCATTTTTATTTTTATTTTTTATTAGGCAAATGTGCATATATACAGTATAAATGACTCATGTCGGATTAGAGTGCATTTATTGGTTATCATACCGGGTAACAACACTTTTCTTTTTCACTAAAGACAATACGGATGAGGTGTCGTATTGTGCACTGCTTTTAAATTACAGCCATTTATTCTGCTGGTTTGTGATGGTAACAAAGATGTGCAGTTATAAATCTTTCCTTGTGAAGAAACAGTGTAGAGCATCAATTGAAGGTCTCATTAGATCCACATTCACAGAGATGTATTACTTGTTTTGTTCATTCATTCGCATGCAAAAGACTCAATTTAGGGTTACAGAGTAATGGATCTTGGCTCCCTCTTGCTGTTTTAGGGCGGAATTCACAGCATAGACAAGCATTGCAAATGAAAACAGGCATATAGACATTTGTTCACACAGATTAATCATATAAAATGTGTGTGTCCTGGATCCGATATCATTGTTTTGAATAGAATATTTTTACAGGAAAAATAAAGAAAAAATAACAATCCAATTTTAATGAATCCAAACCAGTGTTGATGGCATTCGTACACAGGATGACCCGAATGATCGGACCCATCTGTTATTGTTGAGTAATAGTGCTGCTTTCACCATTGCACAGCCATCATCCTGCCGGTGTAAAGTTAAATACTCTTTGGGGCTAATGAGAATATAATGTAAATGAATGAGAGGAGGACCAGAGCAGGATAGAAAAGGGAGAGAGTCACTTATTGGACTCTTTATTAAGTAAGCCATCCTTGCCCAATAAGAATAGTAATTATAAAGTAGTTGTAGTTTAATCCAAGCAGAGTGCTTTGGGCTGATAAACAGCTGGAGGAGACAAGTCTTGCTCACTTCCTCCTGTCTCATTAATTGTGTTCATTCACTCAAGGTGATTTTCAAAGTACTGTATGTTTGGTTTTGCAGGTTTTGGTTGTAATGGACCTTCTCTGGTCAGTAATATGGACAGCTGAGCAGTGGCGACTGGGCAATAGTCAAAAGAATGACCTCCTAACATCTATTTTTAACCACTTTCCCTTGACCTCTGTAGAAAATGTTGTAATGGTAAAATATGTTAAAACATAGTCTAATGTTAGAATATAGTCTAATGTTAAAAGAGGGATAATTGTCTCTATTAACAGGCAAAAAGCAGAACGATTCAAAGTTTCCATTTGCAGCTGTGACTGAAGACAGGAGGGTGAATCAACTTGCTCTCACACAAACGCTCAAACAAAGGAACTGCCTGTTTGCCATCTTAACCTTGGTTCAACCAAGCCCAATGTTTTCACTGCTCGGAGACGGCATCTCCACAGAGCACTCTGACACGTGCTTGTGTATTTGACCTCCTGCTTGCAAGCAATACATGGACTTTTACAACTTTGATCATTCATCATTATTAGATAAACCTCGGGAGTCCGACTCCACTTTCATTAAGCTACGAAGTTGTGATGCGACGGGGGACGCATGTTAGGAACCGTGTGATGGAACGATCTCCTTTTCGTTCCGTAAATGAAGGTCCAGTGGTTCTAAACAGAGTTAAGTGTGAGAATTACAGAAAGAGAGTAATTGCCTTCTATAATAAAGAGTTGCTATTCCTATCCAGGCAATGAATGAGTAAGCGCAGGAGAATCTCTGAGATCGGTACAAACCAGCCTCCCGCTTTTTGATGACGGTGTCACTGCAGGCAGCAGCGCTCGCTTGAAAATAACGGTGCCCCCCGGTTTTTGTCCGGGTGTAAGAGAGGCTACAATCTGTGTTGCTCGCTCTAGGGTCCTTCAAGCGAACAAGTCCTGGAGGGACTGCGATCACCCTCTCTGCAGAGCGGATGACGCGCTGCAGCCTGCCCTTGTCCTTGGCTGTGGCTGCGTCGTACCGGACGGTGGGGGAGGAGCAGAGGATGGACTCGATGATGGCCGTGTAGCAGCGCACCGTCGTCGTCATTGGCCGGTTACACCATCGGCACTGTCTTCAGGGCGTTGAGCTCTAAAGTCTGACGCATGCGCATCCGTCTGCGTCTTAACGCACCGTTGTGTCGACGCACTCGTTTCAATTCATGGTTCTAAAAGCTTTGCATGTGTTGGAGATCAATTCACCCCCAGAAAAACAGGCGGAGTAACGTTTTTTGTTGAAGACGGCCTCGAGAGTCACGTCTTTGTGTGCGGAAGTCGTTGGTGTGTTTATTTATTTATCATAGACTTTATTGCCCCGTGCATCGCCACTGCTGCTTTTCATCGCGGATACATTTGTCCCGTATTTTCCTCCACAACTCTGTTCCCCTCGACCGGCAAAGCAACGTTTGCAGAGATCTCCCTCCATGAATCAAAGGCCATCCGCGCGTCCTTATAGTCCACCAAAGACGGCTTGTATAAGTCTTCAATCTGACCCGTGCTATGAAAACGGAAATGTGAGACTCCGGAAAGGATGTAGTTAGCAGACCAATCAGAGCCTTGCAGGCTGCGGGAGGCTTGCGTAGCTTTTGATGCTAGTCTAGAAAAATGGGTTGACGCACGCAAGCACACAAGGAGGGGTGAAAACGCACGCAAGGGACACGCAAGGGGCTCTTCTGCGTCTATTCTGGTCTGAGTGTCCTTGCGTCTCTCTACTCAACTAGGCTTGAGTCGTTTTGACTGTACCGTGTCACCAGATGGTCAGCGCCCCACCTAGTGGTAGAGAGTGGGGGTGGTGGCTAATAGTATATATCAGTATATATATATACTGAATAAATATATTGAACAACAATTTAGCATTGTGTTTTGTATTGTGTATGAATGATTGTAGGATGTTTGCTGACATGATTGATGATGATTGGACAGCTCTACCTAGCAGATTTTCCACCAGCCGCCACTGCAGCAGAGTATTTTGAATGGTACCGGACGTTCCAGGATTGAACTTGAGCAAATGAAGCCTCGTCAGCTCCAGAGAACTGTAGATGACCCGGACCACTGAGACGGGACACAAGAAGAAATTTCCAAAAGCATCACACGCGTCTTATCACAGGTCCTTTTATGGCGCCCGGGTCCTACTACACTGAATAAGACTCGACCCGTAAATCAGTACCTCTTTCCAAAAGCATGTCCCGAGGCCACTCTACAGCCCAGCGGCGGATTTAATCACCTGCAGAACAGTCAGGCACAGAGAAACCGCTCTCGCTTGCACGCTTTTACCACAGTTCAATCGTGGGTGCATTACTGACTGGGCCTATTGGGCAGTGGCCTCTGTTTGAAGGGACATTTCCTGTTAAAGTCCATCAAATATGAGAGATGGAGAATGACTAAGAACTGACACAAAGACACGCGAGAAAAGATGACAAAGAAATGACTGCAAAAACAGAATATGACACTCCGAAAGGGATGCAAATGACAACAAAAAAGGACTCAAACACATAGAGACAAAAAGACCCACAAGAACAAAGAGATTTTATAGAAACACAAAATACCAGATTGGACTCGTCTGCCCGGGGGCTCGTTGTTTCATAATTTGCCCGTGACCATAGTGTGTTTGGTCGCGTGCAGTGATACTGTATGTTACAATTCCCATCACCCCCTCCTGAACTCTATGAAAGGCACATGACAGATCAGTGGACTTCCACAATATCATCATCCTCCATTCAGCCTCCTCCATTCTCTTCTTCCCCGTCCTTTCATCCCTGAGTGCATTTAGCCAGAGGCCGATCTCCTCCTCCTCCCCCGCCCTCCACATGTCCCGCACAGTGCTCCAAAGTTAATTTCAGCATCCGCACTGCAACACACACAGCAAACACAGAATTGGATTAAAGTGTGATTTAATGGGTGGAAGGACATTTCCTCCCCTCTAGATTTACGTCGTCTCCTGCGAGCGTCCGCTTGACGCGAGTCGTGCTTGTGTTTCTCAGTGGCCGTGAAAGGTCACGGTTGTGATGACCGAGTTGAGAGAAAGTTTCAAATTTAATCAAATTTCCATTCAGCTTGAAAAGATTTTTGTCGAGCCTAGTCACCTTTTTTCCAATTCTCCTTCTCTTCCTCTCCTTCCACTATCGTTCACCATCTTTCCTCTGCCTCCGCATCCTCACTGCTCCTTCCTCCCACCTCTCTCCAACTTTCCCATCCCTCCGTTCCCTGCGATCCCTCCTCCTCCTCTCAAACATCACACAATCCCCTCCTATCCCAATCCAGCGCACCCTCACTCTCTCCCTCCCTCTTCCTTTATCTCTCCCTCCCTCTCTCTTTCTCCCCTTCATCTCACCTCCAGCCAGCCGGAGCACCTCCTCCTCCTCCTCTTCCTCTTGAATCCCACGGTCCGCCGGCTCTCGTCCACTTTCTCTCGCTCTCTCTTTCTCTTCATACCTCTCACTCTCTCCGCTTCCTCTTGTGTCCTCCTGTCATCCACTTCTCTCCAGACGCAAGAAGCTCCCTGGCTCGTCGCTCTTCCTACAACTACTGAGAATTCGGAAGCACTCGGGACGAAGACGCTGTCACTGGAGGTAAGTCTCGGCAGTGTGTGTGTGTGTGTTTGTGTTGGTGGTCATTAACCCTGCATGCATGAGCTGCTGCTTTAGGAGGCAGTTGGAGTCACTGGTGAAAGGAAAATAATGAAAAGGTTTGGGGAGAAAACGAGACCAAGAGCGGTGTTTGACGACGACGACGATGATTAAAATGATGATGATGATGATGATGATGGTGGGTCGGGGGAGAAATGAAAGAAAAATTGAGAAATCCAGTCCAAATCGACTGCTGCATCAGAAAAAGACAAAAAAATGCGGGAGAGTTGACAAAGATGGAGAGAAAGGCAAAAATGTGAGGGGAAAAAAAAACAAAAAACAAAATGAAAGAATGAATTATAGAGCAGTGGGAGAAATAATTCAGAAATGAGAATTGGAGGCTGATGCTTCCCGGGGAAGCGCTGCATGCCTCCTCCTCTCCCGTAACAATCCCATTCACAAACAGGACCTGAGAACAGGAGATGGTGATTGGTTCCCAGAGCGCAGTGTGTGTGTGTGTGTGTGTGTGTGTGTGTGTGTGTGGAGGAGAGGGATTGAAACCCATTGCAACATGCGGGTGATGCTGAGGCTTCTAAGCAGATGCTTGAATGAAACGGCAGGTTGTGCGCTTGTACATTAACGCGACACCGACCAGAGGGGGTGAGAGTCACAATGGCTTATGTGTGGAGGGACCGGGGGACAAATCTTTCCCCTCAGACACAAACTTCCTCTTTCTCCCTCATTGCGTCATTCTCAATGATGCTCCAGATTGTCGTCCCTCTCCGCCGCCGTCGCCGCCGCAATCTCACTGCCGCCGACAGACGTCTTAAATTAACAGCTGTCCAAACAGAAATGGCTCTCCTGCCTCCCGATGCCGGCCAATTAGAAAGTGTCATTCGTTTGGAGAGTGGGGAGGAGTGCAGACCTGAAAGGCAGAGAGGTGATGGGAAAGAGTGAGAGATGGAGGTGAGACAAAGAGGAGAAGACATATCTTCTAAGGTCACAATGTGGGGACAGCAATAGAGAAAGAGTGATGGTAAAATCCAGGCAGCTATTTGTCGAGAAGTTTATAAAGATGTCAAAAAAACCTGCTGTTAGTAATTCACACAATGTTCCAAAATGGTATGAATAATTTTCTCCGTGTCAATGGAAGATTGAAACGGTCCGAAGCAGGCTGTTATCTCCATCTAGTCCCTGTCGAGTCACACGTCGTCCAACATCTTCAAATAGTCCTTCAGGGCAGCCAAACAGAATGACACAATAGTGCATCATCTGCATATGTATGACTGCATATGTATGACACTAAATTATTATATAATATATTGCTACATTGTTTGGGATGCCTGTAATTAGAAAGTAGAAGTAATCTTTGAGGTGCACATCAAGTACGTTTCATCGAGGTAAAAAGAAAAGAATGAGAGAATAAAAGTAATCAGCCATTATTCTCCACCTTTCACACAGCGGTAAAATACTATGCATGACTTACAGGCTATACTTTAACCATCCACCCACATCTCCAGTTGTGCTCTCTCTCCCTCTCGCTCTCTCAAACCCACACATCATACGTCCACTAAACTTCATCACCACTTCTTCATATGATATAAAAGTCAGGCGTGATGCATGGTGGCACATCCTATCCTGATTTCATGGGAAATCAGTGATTTAACAAGCGTGGAGCTCAGTGGACTGTGAAATACCCAGGTGTGATATAATGCTCCGTGGGGAGAAGGCCCGAGTGCAGGAGAGAGAGAGAGAGAGAGAGAGAGAGAGAGAGAGAGAGAGATGCCAGGTGTAAGTGTACCGAAAGGTAGATAAAGAAAGAAAGGTGTGTGTGTGGAGCAGTGCAGTACTGAGGAGAAAGTGTGGGGGAAATTTCCCTGTGCATTGGGACTGGGAAAGGCAATAAAGCCCCTTAACAGTCAGACTGGATTCATTCGGTGGATGTATTTGTGGGTTTTTATCGACAGCATGTGGTCTAGTTGGTCTCATTAAGCTCTCTGTTAAACTAGAAGTGTTGCTAAATGCACTTTTTATTTCCCCATAACAGCATAATGATCCGGCGTTTCACGCTAACTCGGTCCACTTGTATTTCCATGTTGTGTTGCGTCGGGGAAAACCACCAACCAAACACATTGTTGCCGGCGCATTTGCTGAACTGAACTGTCACACAACAAACTTCACCACTTGGAAAAGCTGCCAATCAAAAACGTGTTTTTCTCCCTCGTCCTCCCTTGATACTTCCTGTTGCGGGTGATAAGCCGTTCTTGTGTCCGTACCGCCGTGTAATGGCTAATGATTGAGTCGATGATGAGCTGAATGACTCAGAGGTGGCTTGCTTCAATGGTTGGTTTCTCACAGGTAATGATTATCATTATTGAGGCATGCAGTCATCTGCCCAATTGTTACCGCGAGTTAAAAATCAATCCTAAAGCGTAGAATAATTTAGAATACCATTAGGTGTGGTCATTTTAAACGTAAAAAACTAAACTGCAACTCATTCAAATGGCACTGATGTAAAACCCGACTGTGAATCTTTAGCCATCCCAGTAGAAATGCAAGGCTGTAACAGCTAAATGCTAAATGCCAACCTTTGTTTGATATTAAACTTATCATCCCGAAAAGCAAAGTAGAGGTGGAACTGATGGGAATCTCAGTAGTTAGTAGGTATTAATGACATTTTTTAATAAAGTAGTTTTTGAGAAAATTTAACCCACAAAAAAAGAAGCAAAGCAAAGAAACCTGTGTCAAAAATGTCATGGAAATCCATCACGTAGTTTTGGCAGACCCACTTTGTCATTCCTAGAAATGTCCAAGAACAGAAACACACACAAAGAGTTTGTGTTCTCAAACCACACATAGAAATGAGTTACTCATCTGTTACTGCCTTGGGACGCACTGTGCAGACCTGCATGCAGAATGCAAAACCACGCACAATGAAAAAACGAAATACTCATTGCAGTTGTGGTGGTTGTGTGTAGATGGGAATGTTTGTGTGTGTGTGTGTGTGTGTGTGAGAGATCCATGCCTGTTGTCTGGGAGCCTATCATTTGTCCTACATTGCAAATTGCCCTCTGGTTGTCTATTTTCTCTCATGTGCTGCTCATTGTTGTGTGGAGACACAGCGGTGGTGGATGTGGGTGAGTATGGGGGCGGGTGTTTGTTTGGGCTTGTTATTAAAGGTGTGACAGGTCAGTTAATTGTGAGTAGAAAGGAGGCAGCACGGTTCTTATGTAGGCCAACATCTGTCCAGGGCAAGATGTATCCTGGTCACTGAAGAAGAAAACCACATTGTCTATGGTGCTTTGCTTTGGTCTACACATCCTCCACCACCTGTGAACTGACATGTAACCGCAAGACATGCTGTGACTGCCGCGCATATGGTTGTTACAGTCTGTCCACCACTTAAGAGGTTTCCTGGATAATTAAAACACTGTTTCCAGCCTCGGCGCAAAGCTCGCCCACAGACAATTTGCATTTGGTCTGATTTTGTCATAAAAAGCACAATTAACCCGATGTTCAAGGCATTAATTAAAACACAGATTTTGATAAAAGAGAATGAGGAAGAATTCTTTTTTTTTTTTGCTGAGGTGACAGATTTAATAAAAGAAGGGAAACTAGTTTTTTTTTTGCTGCAATCAGAAACACTCAAAGTCATCTTGCAGGGCTCGTATAGCTTGCATATGTACTGAATGCAGCATTTTATCGGGCAAAGTCATCTGGGTTGATAACACACGCAAGTTACAATATACCGCGGCCGCCCGGGTCACTGCCCCCGCAGATGCAAACTGATACAAAGGGCATCTCTAGACGTGAGTCGCCGTCGCCAAGGTTAAGACCAGATGAGGCGAGGCGGCCGGCTCAGCGCGCGACGGTTGCGACGATACGCAAAATGATCAGTGAAAATCGTGCCCCAGTGTGTGTGTGTGTGTGTGAGTCGGCAGACACTGGGGCAACGCTCTGCTCATCATGTACATGTTTGAGTGGGACCGAGCCACCTGCTAACAAGGGAGGATCAACGTGAAGGGAACAGCATGTATCCAGTCATCAGATGCTGCGTTGTCGGCTGATACCTGAACAGGGGAACGTGATAGATGGAGCACCGTGTTCTTCCCCGGAGTAACTCAGCTCGACTCTGTGGGGGTCACAGGAAGGTGTTGCACCACAATCCCTCAGAAGGGGGTGAGTTCTCAGGTGTGTGTGTGTGTGCGCTGCCCCGTGGTTGGATGAATCGCCCGTGGTACTAATACCCGGGTTACTATAGATACCTTTCGGTTTTAATTGTGTTCCGTGCTGTTTCTCATTATCGCTACTTCTTATGAAACCAGACCTGCACACCAGAGTCACTCACCTGCTGTCAAATGTTCTTCAAGCAGAGCACGTCTTTTCCTTGAGGAGGAACTTGGGTCCAAAAGGCGGTTTGAGCTATTTGAAGGGTTGTTTCTAAGGACAGTGGGGACAGAAGCGTGAGTAGTTTTTAATAAGGTCAAAGGGAATGTACTAACTTTAGACTGCCACAGGTCAGCTCGCTTCCAATTAGAAAACCAGCGACCTCTTAAATGAGATCATTAACAAACCTTTGGTCATGTGGGAGACATGGATTGAGACTTTTCTTATTTTAGAGCTTGATCTTTTTTAGAAACGAGAAATTAAATAGGATGAAGTGACCTATTTTATGAAAGCCACTTAAAGCCTCCATCTTTTGGGAACAAAGTCAAGTATTTTTAGAGTAACATGAATCACCCCTGAGGTTAAACGTTTATCCGGTCAACGGTTTCGTGCAACATCAGTGTTGAATTTTCCAAAATCTGCCGTTGTCAAGGAAGTCAACGAGCTTATTTTCATAGTATATTCACAAAATGTTAAAGAACATTCCCTTTACAACAACAAAAACCAATGAGTGTGGATCCCTTTCCCAAGGCTCAATCTTTAGTGGATTTAAACTTTAAAAAGAACACAACTAAAGAACTTTCTGAAAATGGAGCGCCACTTAAAATTCTTCACCT